GATGCTTTTGCCGCATGATGCTCCACTTCAGAAATAGAATTTTTAGTCACAGCATCAGACGGCACAGGTATTAAAACGATTCATAACAGGCATGAAGTCTTCACTTAGTGTGTACACGGTCTTGTGAGTGGTCTGCGTAGTAAAGCCGTTGGGTTTACTGTTTGCTTCATTATAACCTTTTATCTGTGACAGATTATTATCCTCAAGCGACGTTTTCACTGCATTGTTAGCTTTGTCGTTGCCAGCTACCTTAAACAGGTCATCATGGTTATTCTCATTAGTGTTTTTTACTTCTGGTGTCTCAGTATATATTACAGAGAAAGAGTGGCATTCATCAGTGTTGATAGCGTAGGGTTTACTGCTGCCAACCAGGGAACCGTTCTCCTCGTCCCTACTGTTTTCTATCGGTAGCTTTGCGGCTGCCTCTGAACGCTTTACTGGCAAGGTCACAGTTGTTTGCACATTTCTCATACTCTTTGGTGGGATTTCTATCATCACAAGGACTCAGCCATCAGCATATCCAGCGTCGGAGTCGGCTCTGAATATTTCCTCGACTGAGGATGATCTCGTTAGCTCTGTCAGGCTATAGGTGCCAGGTAAACTGTCACCTCCAAACAGCATGAGGTTTAACAGTGCTGACGTGCTGCTGAGAGGAAACGGATTGTTTTTTGCTTTAGGGCTCATTGATGCCATTAAGGTCTGTACAGGTCTCTGCTTGTTATCATCAACAGGAGCATGCAATGCATCTGAATGGGCTGCCTGCTCTGACAGTTTGAATGAGCACTGATGGCCTGAAGTCATGTCAAAGGAGGAAGGGGACTGACTTATCTGAGGGGCAGACTGCCCTTGGTGAGGCTGCGAATGGCCCGTGGAGATGCGTTCCTCAGATGACAAGGCAGCGGCTATGGGTGGCCTGGCAGAGGAGTCATGATGCGTTTCCTGGGGCAGAGCAATATTCACTGAAGCAGATATATGTACTTCTTCAATCATGTTAGACATGAAAGGGCCCTCAACACTTCAGTCAAATATACCTGCTCTGCTGGCTCTGTCTCATTTGTGCTCTGATAAGTGAATCACACTTGGAAACTCAAGTATCAAATTTATTCCTATCATCTGAAATCATGTGAATAATTGATTTACTGAGAGTAGAACTATTTACTCTTGAGTGGGTCTGAGCTGCCAATTGTGGGGTGGTGAGTGACAGCATATTAGTGATTCTGTTTCTTACAGACTGATTTGATTAGAGAGCTGGCTTTAATGTATTACCAAATTCTGAAACTGCAAAATTCTGAGAGAGTTGTGGGACCATTTGTGGTTTAGCATTTACAAAAAAATGCATCCTTGACAACTTTGTTCTCAGTACTTTCTCCTGCGAGTGAAGATTTATCTCCGTGCTTTGTAAGCGTAGCCCTGTGGGTAGACATGAGCTTTAATCCCAGTGTATCGCTTTTCAGGAAGCGATGTCATTCTTGATAGTTTTGGGCTCTGGGACCTCAGAGCTGGATGTAGTGGTCTGTGATTGCCTGTCACTTTGTAGGAAAATGGATTATTTTTCATTTCAACAACTTTTGCAATATTTTCACACAGATGAATGAGCCGATGCTCACTGGCCCCCGACTGTTTAATCAAAGTGTGGCAGCAAGACGAGTTTGTTACCGTGTGCCCTTCGTCTCTATTAAGTTCTTCAGAATTAGTAGTTGGTCCAAAGGGAACATTTTTCATGTCCTCTCCCTGTTACATATGATGTCTTCCTTTCCTGCCCTTTCCTCTCTTTTAGCCTCTACTCTTTCCTTTGCCATCATCACTCTCTGCTTTTCAGATACATCTTTAGTGGAATTCGGTCTGTATTTTAGTCACACCTTTTCCTCCAGCACCTTTTTCTTTCTTATCTCCCACTCCCTCTTGTATTGGATCTTTGTTGTGTCTCAGCTTCGCATCCTCCTTCCTTGTGGTTGTGTCCACCGTTTTAATTACAGTATTAATTATGTCTTCCTTTCTCCTCTCAGTTTTACAATATTGAAATAATTGTTCTCTTTTTGCTCTCCACTGTCAGCTAGAGAAGGTCTCGCTTGGCACTGTTTTTAGTGTCAACGTTGACGGCTGATTATCAAAGTTCCTTATTAATTCCTAAAAAAAAACAAATTCACAGCAACCACAGCTTTTATTGTTTACTGTTAACAATCTTAAATATCTCTACCTTCGTGTTTACAGATGCGAACTTGGAAACCTTGGGTCCCAACTTCAACATATGTCCATTTGTCTACAAGCTTAATTTAGATGGTGTTACGCTCTTCAAAAAAGAGTTTGAAGAATCATCTCTTCCTGTCAGAGCGTGCGACTCAGGAGCTTCCACTAAAGAAGTGGTTGGCCCTCTAAGGCTCACAGTTACACTCTGAACCTATCAACCTCATCCTTGCAGTTGGATGTGATACAAGAACACTTTTCTCACCACCATGGGGAGCCTCAGCACTGATAGCCGTGTTATTTACCGACCACTGCTGAAGTCCAGAGGTTGATTTGGGGCAAACACATTTCTGAAGTTTGTCGAGAGACCATGGGAAGCATTTTAGCTGTTCTCACTGAAATACTTGACTGTTGACTGTTGTTGGCGGTCAAATTCTTTCCAAACATCTTTTGTTCTCCTTTTTTTACTGGTTTCATTAGAGTATGGAGAATCTTTAAGCGATAAAATGCTTTGGTTGTCAAACTCAATCTCTCAGTGAAAGAAGTTTCATTACAATCGATGAGCCTCATTTGTTTCTTGGTGTCTTCTTGTGTTACCGATGACATTTTGGCTACATGCCAGTGTTTAAGATGCAACTCTTCCTATATCTGAGAAAAAAGGGTTGATTAGGGAATTGTTCAGAATGCTGTGACTATGATTTCAGGAAACTAGAATTCTTAATAATGTTTTGTTGACTAATTTCTCTGTTCAGTATTTCTTCTTGTTCTCTGTTTGGCTGTCGGTGTAAATGAGGTATTGAGGTTGTAACTTCATTGAAATCTAATGCAAGCCCCTCTGTACTAAGAGATACTGAGGAGGCATCAGGTGACAGCGCAGGCAGAGCCACAGATTTCTCAGTGGACGCTCTTCGATCTTTCTGGCAGAACACAAGATCGTCAAAGTGTTTCTGATTGGTGTGTATCCTCATAGTTGATGGATTGTCTCCCGTTGGTGTGAAAAAACGTTTGCCCATTTCTGGAAATAAAACGCTCTGTGCTCTGTGAGACAATTACAGCAATGCTTTAGTGATTTTTACTCTCTCATTAAGTCTGGTGTCAAACAAGACCAACCCTGGAAACTTGGCAGGCACTGCTGCTGCAGTGTGTTGGTGTGTGCGCTTTATAGTTGTTGCTTCTGTGCAGTGACCAATTGTGTTTCCCTTCTCATAAGCAGATCTGTTGTGACAGTTGTGCCTTTTGTTTGTTCTGTGTGGTAACCTTGGAAATATCTTTGGCCCTCACTGCAAAGATAAAACAATACATGTCACTTTTCCCCCAAAGGCTGTCCATCCACGAGAATCAATGATGTATATTCACATACATTTTTAAGAGTTAATTAAATATACACACAGGTAACAAGTATATAATTTTGAGTAGGTCAGGTGTATAATACTGTTTTGATGATTGAAGGGAACACCCTTGCTAACACTTCATTTGTGCTTATCTCCCTCAGTGATTGCGGACACTTGGAGAGTGTCATGTGATAAATTAATATGGCTTCTAATTAAGCAGTTTTTTTAGTTATCTGCATCTAGGATTATAGCTACAGTAGAAAAAAGTATTGGCCACTGGCACTAATATGTAGATATAATAGTACAATCAAAAATAGTGCTATTAGTTCTGGTTGTGTGGTGTGTTTTGAAGCTTCCTTACATTTTTCCCCACAGTCTTTTTATCGTGATTTAGGTTAGGGGAGTTTTTGAGAGCTAAATGAGTGAGGCACACACTGTGCTGCTGTTTACTCTTCTCCTAGATAAAATTAAGAGTAATGCAGTAATGATACAGTGAAAAGAATTGTGCATTTGTTCACAATTAAAAAGTCTTAGCTGACTGTGTGTGTATATTTCCTACAGTAAGAAATGTTTTGAAAGTTTTGTTGAATGATGGTTTACAGGGTACCTTCAGTAATAATTTAATAAATCCTACAATTATGTATTGTTAATAGTATTATTATTATTATTATTATATAAAGACAGAGTATTGGTGTGGCAGACTGACAAATTAATTTACCTTAGTTTCTTTCTTTCTTTAGTTTATATTATATTTATATTTGAAACTGATGACACCACCAGTAAAACTTGGTGTTTGGCAAGCAGTACTGAATAATTATGGTTAATAAGAGACCTTTAATAATTAAGTGCCAGGTTTCTACTTCTATGCTAAGCCTCAACCACAAGGACACATCTCTCTGATCCACTTCAATCAAATCCCATCAGTGTGTGATTCTGCTGGATCAATATCAGTGTTACAATCCAACAATTTCAGTTCATATACCACATTACAAGTGAACTCTGCAGAGTTGGTTCTTATTTATTAAAGCAGTATCTTCTGCTTTATTTCTACTTTAGGATTTAGGTAAATTTTTGGACTCATGATATAAACTATTGATACAATGTTACAATTGTACAAAAACAACTTGTAAGTGACTGTATTGATGATATTTAACTATGTTTAATATGTTTAACATGTTTAATATGTTAACTTTGTTAATTATCAGGTGCATAAAAAACAAGGACATCTAAGAACATTGCTCATGTTTTTATGGGTTAAGAAAGTAGGACCACCATCTTACATTAAGTACATCGAGGATTATTCTTGCAACAGGCTTAGCTTTCCTCAAAACATTTACTGTATTTAAAAAAAAAATACTTAACTCAAGTTTAAATGCCTTTTTGGTTGCCAATGGTGTTCTTTTTTTTTTTTTGTTAATGCTGGAAGAGAACAAGACAGGAATGATAGTAAAACATGTGATTGTCATGAGTTTATGAGCTTCACACAGGTTTGAATGCAGGACCTCAAAGCTGTGTAGTTCTCGAACTTTGTCCTTATGTCTTGGAAATGAAGACAAAACAAAGTCAATGTGTATTCAGTGGGTTGGCATTCAATTGAAACCACAATTTGGGGATTTATGAGTCTGGGAACAAAAGATCAGTACAACCTCAACACAGCCAGAGCAGAACTCTTCACGCCTGGAGCTACACTTAATGTCTTCCTCCGATCAAAGAGACATGTTTCCTGCTGCTAGCTTATATCATTGTATATATATTATTACAAGTTATAATTGCTTAATCAGAGATGTGGCACAGTGAGGCGTACATAGTTTATCAGTTTATCAAAAAAAATAAAGGAACTAGAATTAGTGCCTTGCATTGTATGCCTCCACCAACTAGTGCAGTTTCAGTTTACATGTTGTTTTTTTCCCTAGACTCATATGAGACCAATATGACCACTGAAATGTTGGTTAATCAAGTTAAAGCTGGTCAAACTTTTAAGAAATGAGACTTGAGACATAATGTTCAAGAGGCAGGAAAAAAACATGTTTTATGAGGCCACAGTGACCTTGATCTTTGACTAGCCAAATCGAATCTATTTATATGTTAATCTATGAGTCTAAGTGAACATTTATGCCAGATTTGAAAATATTCTCTCAAGGCATTCTAAAAATAATGCATTCACAAGGCAAACAAGGGTTTTGTGAGCGCAGCGGGACCTTAACCTTTGACTTCAGACCTTAGACCACCAGAATCTAATCAGTTCATCCTTGAGTCCAACTAAACTGCATTCTTTAGATAACGTGATTACAAAAATGGGACCGAAAAAAGACGGACAACCGGAAAATACCACTCAACTACAATCAATTTACGTACACTACGCCATTATGACTGCAGTGATTTTTTTTCCAGATATATTTAAAAGTAAAAACTGAAATGTCCAATTGAAATATTAAATATGTATTAAAACACTTGGCTATTACATTTAATCTAAGCATCTCCCATTTGTCTTTATCATCTTAAAGACGTTCATAAGATGATTTGTTATGATTGCATTTCTTGTAGCCTAACAATGCTACTTTCTACAATGCGATCAGCAGCATGTGTGGTGTGCATAGTGGGGCTGAGAGGGCACCTGGGCAATCGCTGCTGCATTTAGCTGCACAACCGTCTTCTTTGCATCCCCTGCAGCATGGGGTAGCAGCAGCAGCAGCACAATATCAGTGCCCAGCAGATTGCTGGCAGTTCCCTCCAACTCAAGGCAGTTGGCCAAACAGAGGGCTGCATTTCCTAACACCAACTCATCACAGCTGGAACCCAGTAGATGACGTAGGATGGACAGTTCTGTGTTGAAAATATAAGGAACAGCAAAAAAGGAAGAGGACACTATTACATAAATATTAACAAGTATGCAGATGAAATCAACATGTATGTACACTCCATCCACACACATCCATGTATATGTAGACACAAACATGCACTTGATTTCCATATTAGGTCAACCCTTAAATAATATTCATGGACTAATGAGGGAGCTTGTGAAAGTGATGGAAACATGTCAATCATTTCTCACTTTTATCAGACTTCACCAGCTCCTCTCGTGCCAAATGACTGCCAGCAGTGCACACTGTCAGAGTCTTAATGGCATATTTGGTGGCAGCCTGCCCTGCTCCCTGGGTAAGCGAACACAAAAATAACCTAAAAATAACCTAAACATTGAAAAAAAAGTATGGTTGCACACTCTCACTTTACATTCATGTCATGCAGTGTATGAAGTGATCACATTTAGAAATATTAACATGAGTAAAGGTAGTTGTGTTTTCATCTCCATACTTTATATTAGTAAATACTTAAGCTGTGACTGAATGCAATGCAGGGGATGTAAGTTTTAGAAATGTGCATCGCTTATAGTGTAGTTATAATGTGGTATAGTATTGTCTGAAGTCAAATGATCGGCAATCATAAGCCAATTTATTCAGATATATAGAGGCTACTTTGTGTTGGTTTGAGTTGTAGTTAAACTTAATCAGGACCTCTCTTCTGCTACTTGTCCAAATGCATTGTCATTCACACATGTGCATCGCAAAAGCTGAGTTGAGCCCCGTTAATCATACACTTCAAAATCTACATTCTCCAGGAGAACACTTTGGAAGTTACCTCTGGTCTTCATCTGTAATAACAAAAACATCATTGACATTATCCCACATATAAAATACTTGTAAACTATTCACAGAAGCTGTAGTATGTTCAGTGTGTACCCTTACGCAGCTGAAACATGGTCCCAACAACACCCCTCTGGATAACAAGCTGCACAGCCTCAGAGGACTGAGGGAGGCCAGTGCTCCGCAGGGAGTTAGAATACATTTGTATTGACCCTTTCAAGGATAACATTGGGCAAACAGAACAAGCAGAAGAATGGAATCATAAATATAAGCATGAGATTTAGAGAAAGGTCCCATATGACTGTATGCTATGTTATGATATGCAGGCAGCTTGTGCAGAATCTCATGTAGTTGCACAAATCTAAGGGCGACATTTTAGGGTATGAATCATGTTATATTAGCAGATGAATAACTAGAAGGAATGAAATGAGTATACTTAGAGCACAAATGAGTAATTTGAGAGAATGAGTTTTAAGTGAGGACACAAATTATTCATTTTAGGGAATGATCGATGTAGAACTCATGGGATAGATTATCCTCCACTTTAACCAATTCAGCTTTCTGTTGAGTAGTAGAAATGGTCTCTTCAGCTGTGTATATAGCAGCAGGAGGCAGCCATTTTGTTCTTGTTATGTATTATTTTGTGATTGTTGTCTTGTCTGGGCACACATTTTGGACATTCCAAACAACTGAGTTGTGTGGCAACAAAGTATTCAAACTTGAACCTTGAATCTTGATAAAACACCAAACCACACTAAAAGAAATTTCCAGTTAACCTGCCTAACCTGCAAAGAAACCACAGCAGAACAAATATGTTAATAGGTGAGGTGTCCTTGCCACAGATGTTGCCCCAGCAATGATTGTCCTGCAAAACAGAATGTTAAAAGTGTAGCTGGGATTGCATGGGTCGTCAGTCCCAAACCAGGAGATTTTGATTTATTACATCAAGAGAGGCTGCATTCTCTGAAGGTCATGTAATGACTGCTTTTTTTTTACACCACACATTTCAACAGTTCAAGGAGTAGCTGATTGATCTTGAACCACAGTACTTAGCTCTGGTTTACCTTTGTGAGGCGCAATGGCAAATGGGAAATCTTGTGAAGACATAAAAGCTGTTTCAAGTGCAAATGGAGAGGGGTAATGTTGTGCATTCTCCTGCTAAAACATTTACAACACCTGAATATGCTGGTAGGTGCACAAAACTAAACGTAAGCAAAGACAAGAGCAGAGAAAAACTTGTGGAAAGACAAAAACTATGACGACATCAGGTGACAAAACAGAAAACCTGCCAGCCAGCCAACAAGTAAGACCTAAAAAAGGAGGAAGGAGACAGATGGGTGGAAGTGTGGTGCTCTGAGGGCCTTGCATAGGCATGTGTGAAACTGCCATAACAGCTATTAGCACATGCAATGGCACTAAGAGCTAGAGGTTTAATCAACTGTACTGACACATGCACAGGATCCTCTGAACATTGTGAATTGCTGTTACTTCCTTTTGGGGCACATTGCCAATGAGCTCACAAGCCCTGGAAAAGGCTCATAACTCAAGACAAATGTCATTTGTTTGCGTCTCGTTATCTGAACAAATGGCTTTTGCTTTATAGGATGTACACAGGTTTGGAAAACAAACATTTTCAGCAAGCATCATCAGCAAAGTTTTTTTTTTTTTTTTTTTTCAAAACAWAACATATACCAACATGAAAACCTAACTAATGATGTGAGTGTGTTCGGGGTCTAAATCCTACATTAATGTTTTTTGAACCCATCGAATTACTAAAGAGTAAAGTTCACTCACAGTTATGACTCCCCTGTCACTGTCGCGCAGCAGGCCTTAACAGCAGTCACACTGAACCAGCATGCTCCTACAAAACGGCAGGGACAGAATGACCGAGACAATTTTCACATACATGTCACCCCTAAATAGGTGACATCACACATCATGGCTTCACAAAACTCCCTCTTCTTCTCTTGTCCATTTTCTTTTACAATATATTAAAGTCTGTTGATCTTCAGTATACAGTGTACTCATAATACGGCAGTCGTCGTGTGTAACCTTTATGACCAGAGTAGTTGTAGTTGAGAGGTTGATGATCAATCCAAGCATGCGGTAAAGGATCTGTTTGTATTTATATGCACTGCTCTGCCTCTGCAATGAAACGGATTCTTCAGTGAATGAATGAAATGTATCTACAAGATAGATGTCTATTATGTCTCACACCTTCTTCCTTGTAGCACCCGGACTCAAAAGAATAATTCAATAATAACCATGTGCCTTTCTGAACAGAGGCTGTAATCATACTAACAATGGCAACTGGAAAGGCGTCCCAACACGCTGGATCACAAGCAAGTTTGTGATGGATGATGCTGTCTCGAGCCAGACATCAGTGATCGAAGGATATGACTATTGGACTTGTTGATACTTCTCTGTGAAATCAGAAAGAGGTGTCTATATTTACCTCAAAACACACAAACACACACACTGTATACCTATACATCTTACCAGTACTGATGTAAATGGCACAATGACAGACTCAGTCAAAGCATTCCTTAACTGAATGTGAAATCTGTTTGTACCAAATTAGAAGAATTTCTCTTGAAGGCATAAGTGAGCAGCTTGATAGATAGATACATGAAGAAGGGCTATGCTCTGTAACATGTGAATGGAATTTTCAATAGTAACTCATGTAAAAATCCTAATTAAAATAATGTCTTATTCAGAATAAGGTCAATAGAGGGAATATTGCAGTCCATGCAAACGTCGTCAATGTGGGGTTTGGAATTCAGACAAGCTGTGCATCTATTTTCACTGAGGCATAGATATCCACTAAAGCCTACCGTTGACCTGGCTGAGCTTCCACAATGAAGAGAAGAGGAGGAGGAGGAGTTAGTGAGTTGAGTAACTCTCTTTGAGCTTTGCACAGAGAAAATTGATCCCCCCCATTTCACTGCTTGACACTTCGACTTATTTCCCGCTGTGTGCAAGAGCCTGGGTTGTCCTTTCATGTCTGTTTTTATTAGGCGCCAAAGAGCGGAGCAGCTTTCCAATGGCCTTTTGCCTTTGAGTGACATTAAGACTTGTATAGAACATGTTGATTTATTAAAGAGGCCACATTTCCTGTTTCTCCACAAACCTCCTGTCTCATGGGTGGATTTTAAAGTGAACTGAATATAAATGGATATGATGCACAGTATGGGAAGATAATAGGCTTTTTGTGGATCATATTCTGAATTCTATAGAGTTTCTGAAATTATTAAGATTTATAATTATTATTTATAATTTAAGGAAATAAATATTTTTAATGATGTCAGGGGAGTGTTTTTGTTTATTTGGCTGTTTATTAGTAATACTTGTTTTCTTCTGCAAAGTTCTCCAGAATGTTGCTGCTGCTTCGGCTTTAAGGTGCACACCATGAGGTTCCTCACTAACCTTTAAAGCCAGATTAAGAGCAGAAGAGCGGAATGAGAGTTGGAGAAAGAAGAGAAACAGAGAGAAATTGTGAGTCACCTATTTAAAACAATATGTTCTTATTGAGTATTTTTCACGATTTCAATGAATATTTGTTATAATGGAGGTGTCCACCTTTAGATCAATAAGTGTGACAACAGAAATTGAGCAACAATATTACTCATTATACCTTTCTTTTTAAAAATCCAATCTGCTGCAGCTCACATAATATCAGACATAAAGCCAATAAGAAATCCTTTAGGCCATCCAATGAAATTTGTAAAACTGTGCAACAAAGCAATAAACATTTAAATTGTATGGCCCGGGGATAACCTACAGCCCCTCCAATGATTTTATCATGGAGACAACAAAGTGAAATTAAAAATATTTAAATAGCTAGTAGGGATGGGAGGATTCCAAAAAAGTTAATTAGAATGTACAGTAAGCCAAAAATCTCTATATGATATATATAGGTTCGCATTCCTACAATGTCCCTAGGTTTGGAACAGCAGAAAGGCTTTTTTATTCCAGCTATGTTATTTCTGTTTTCAGTTGCATCCAATTACACACACAAAAATGTACTTACATGTGCATTTTCAGGCTGTCGATAGCCAAACTTCTGCCATGTGGCATGTGTGAGTACAAACAATGCCAGACATTCTTTCTGTACTGCAACATGCTCTAATGTTAACAAGCGAACAGTGGCCTGGTTAGTGACTGGGCACATCATCAACATCTTCTGGTTTTCATCTGAAAGCGAAGGAAAACAAAGAATGAGCTAAGAGGACACAGTAAACATGATCACATGAGCATTGAATTGCTGTACTAAATATGTGCTTTGTTGTTCTCATATATCAACATACATAGAGCTGTGTAGAGAAATCATGACAGTAAGCATGAATAATATGTTGGCTACAGCCCCCATGGCTCGTGTGATTTAACACAAAAAAAAAGCATGATACGAGAAAAGGCTTTCGTATCACACAATCAAGCTGTGCAGTGAGGACTCAGTGCCTAAATAGAGGATAATATTTAATTTCTTCCTCCGAGCCGAATGTTACAAATACCTAGTCAGAAAATTAAGTGTAACTGGAGGATCTACATACCATTACCACAACAAAGAGCCCTCCACAATTTCAGAACAGACACACAGGAGTCTTGAATGTCTGCATCCATTGTTTTCTGCAACAGGCAACTGTGGAAAAATGCAACTTGATCTTTGCTGTTGTTGTTTTCCTCTAACTGACATAATACAAATCAAACTGAAGTACTAGTGTATTGTGGCATCATGATAATAGTACACAATAGTGTGTCTGTAATAATGTATCTCAACAAAATCAGAATGTTACAAATGACAAACGTTTATAATTTGTACTTTATGTTCAAATCAGACAGCGAGCAGATGCCACAACATTTCATATAGATATTTGGTTAAAGAAAAAACATGAGCATTACATGTACTGGCACTGATACTAGACTAACTTGCATCACCTGTCACCTGATAATATATATGTTTCCCACTGAGGTGTTTGCAATTGACACTGTAACTTGTTTCCTGAAGGTTTATGTTATTGTTGTCTTTGAATCTCTATTTTATTTTAGCATAATAAAACTGACAAACAAACAAATGGACAGGGGTGAAAACATAACCTCCTTGGCGATTAGCCAGCTCAACAAAATATTTTTATTGGTTATTTTTTCTTTTCTGTACTTTATTGGAGGACTTTACTGAAGGTTTATTAACTAGGAGTGTTATGGATGACTTTCGTGGCACAGCCTCCTTTGTTACATGGCTCACAGAGCTTTCAGTTGGTTTATCTTGCTTATAGCAGTATCCTTATTGTGCTTTTCATCAAGCTCAGGCTGCAATGTCTTCGCAGTCATTTTTGTATTTTTTTTGCAATCTACTTCCCCCACATTATGTTCTAACTTGAATAATGACACTGCTAACAATGGGCCACAAGTATGTGGCAAGTTAATAATAGCCTTACTGAGTTGACATGAGGGAGTCATAATTGGTATCTTGTGCAAAACACTCGCTCTTTCAGGACAAAACACAGAGCCTATGCTCATTTTGGCACTCATCTCATCTCCAGTGTGATCATCGTTTCCTCTCTGGGCGATCACACAAACAAGCTGACAGAGAGAGGGAAGAGAATGATGGCTTTAGTTTAGGCCATCATTGTCTCTGTATGCCCACGTCTCTGGGTCCATCTGTCAGAGCTCCTCTGTGGGCTGACATCAACCTCTCCCTCTGGTCTCCTTACCTCCTCACTAAGTCATTGCTGCTGATGATACTAAAGCTATTGTTCGGTCTGAAAAGGGTCTGGCCGGTACCTTTTAGAGGAGAACAGAAGATAGTGTAAGAGGACAGGAAAAGATATATCAGCGGGTAGCCTTGAGGTTTTAGAGAAGCACAACAGTCCTCTCTATTAGTTTAGCTTGTCTTGTATACAGTCAAAGGCAGGAGAGAAGAGAATAAACAAAGTATGCTTAGAGAGTTGGGTCCAGGTGTTTTCCACTAATGATGAGCTGGAGAATGCAGAAAGTGGAGCAGAGCAGCGAGGTAGTACTTTTAGGGGTGAAAGTTTGTAATGTCAGCCCTAGTATGAGTTATGGAAGTTATGCCCTTTTCAGTTGAATGGCACCGTGAGACAGGCGTTATATCATCGGTACACTTTTCTTCATCCAAATGAAGAAAAAGAGCAATTGGATAAGATTTGTTTTCCATTCTGCAGAGGACAGCAAATGCAATAAATATGGTATATTACAAAAAGTACAAGTCAAAACAAATATAGGAGGGGCAACGTGATGTAATGTGTCAGAAGTACTTCTTCACAACTTCATTCTCAGCTGATATATAGCTAAATAAATACTGTTGAGAGCGCCATTCACCTTGATAAATTGTTACGTTGAGCTGTTTTTAGAAAAAGCTGCAATTTCTGCCTTGTGGTCATAGCTAAAAATGACTTACAGTATATTGGCCGTGTTGAGTTTCAAAGTCATTTGTTGGGTCAAAAACATTCACAAAAATATCAGCAGATGCCAGAGGTGGGGAGAACTGCCTGTACAACATGCTGCTTGTCTACTATGGCCTCTTTTCATTCAGCAGAGGACTTGGTCAACAAATTACAGTTACTTTTCAACCTGATGCCACTACTATCAGACGGGCACATGAGGTGAAATGTGTCATGCCTTACAAGTATTTCACTTTGACAGTGCACAATCACAATTCTTCTTACAGTGCCAACTAGTCTCAAGTAACCTTGAGCACCAAGCACCGTGCCAGAACCAAGCTAAAGCAATCACATATGGTTTGTCTTGTCTTATGCAGCCATTTACCCCATGGTATTTGTTGTAGTACCTCTATATGAACAGTTGTATTGTGCACTAATTTGCTTTTATGTGCTCTTTATTTGACGATTTAATGATTTTGCTTTAAATTCTGGGCCTTCAATAGCTCACTCTTGCACTAAAATATATTAAAGCATGAGGGGCGTAATAATACTGAAACCGTGGCAGAAAACACAACACAAAATACATCTGCTGCCACCATTGTGTTAGTTTGATGCTCTCAACACTGATTTGACGTTCAGTCTGTTGAGGGTGTTTTGTGTGCTGCACCTTAACCTAGGTGTTATGAAAAACTGTATTTGGGTGGCCCCGTCTGGCCCACCTTGGCAGCACCCCTGGATTGAGGTGCATTGAGGTGCATTTCTCCACGGCAGTAAACAAGTGATTCTGCTCCTCTGCTCGGTGCTAATCACTGACCCATCGAGCTGATTTTTATATGAATATTTATGTTCCTGTACCAGGTTTGGGCGTCGCCTCTTTTGCAACAATGAACAATGATAACAACAATGATAATCTGTGGGAAGAACTTCTCTCCTGTCTGTAACCTGTGTGTCTGCTCGTCTCTGTCACTCTTCAGTCACAAACTGAGAATCACATTTATTTAATTAATAATCAATGTCTAATCCTTAATCAAGATTGTCGACACCCACTTTAACCCTGGTCTCCCGGTTGTGTGTCTCCAATGTTGTATGTGGTGGGTGAACTGTGTGTGCACAAGAAATTTGTGCTTCAAAAATTCCTGAACAATCAAACAAAACTCAAAGTAATTGCTTCAAGTAATGGACAGGTCCTGGTAATTTCTCATTAGTGCTTGTGTTTTCTGATTAAGTGTAATGTAAGCACACGCCAAGCAGGGGAGTGTGGAGGGAGGACACTCCAGCAGGATACTCTGGCACGGTAAAATACAACCGGACTTAATGTGCATCTTCCCTAATCCTGAAGCAGCCGTGGTAATAATTATAAAGTGTACATAGCAGAAACCCTGCTGTGAATATGTGTTATATGACTTTTTTGGTCTAATTTCACCTGCGGTAAAAGTCAGGTAGATCCAACTCAGCAGCGTGGGAGCACTTTGGTTATTTTGCTGACTGTAAATGTGTGAACTCAGAAATCGAGGTCCGAACCAAATCATGGATTTGGAGAATTAGTACGCCCACAATGCACATCTATAATAAGGAGGATTTCAGGGGAAGGCTGTCATAAATCTACAAAGTAAATGGATAGATACCATCATTAGCGACCTATTCCAAATCTGACTGGAGTGAGTGAAGGTATGCTTCTGAAGTTTTGAAATAGACACCTGCCATCACAGATGTTTCATTAAATTGCACCATGATGGCTTCAGAAGGCTTAATGGTGTTTGCTCTCATCCCATAATAAGCCCCCACTCTACTCTCCCCTCTCTCAAATCCAAATGCAATACTTATAAAGCTCTGTGCCTAAGAGCTAGTAAAGTAGAATGATATCAGTCATTTTATTTATAAATATTTATGATTCATAACAATGTTACGTGTCACCGCTGGCTTAGAAATAGTCCACTCATCAGTTCAGTAACATTACATTAGCAATTATAGGCCTTGGGAACATGTAACTCTTCTAATTGAGATGATCAGAGACGGATCACGGATTAAATCATGTCAACATTAGAAATGTCCCTCATCACCATCACTTCTATGCAATGTCATGTCACAGTGTTACATAGTGAAAGACTATATAAACCTATTTTTATATAGTGGCGGTGCTGAGGTTTTGCTCTTTTATTGTAGTTTCATGGTTTTGTTTACAAGACAGCAAATTGGGCATGATTTGGATTCCACAAAAAATAGCAGCCAATTAATTTGATTCGTTGCCTAATGCCCTGATGTTTGCAGAGTACCTATGTGCTGCATCTCTTTTATTTTAACTTCTCTTAACCTCTCTTGCTGATATTTTGCACTCGTTTCAAGCCCAAGAAAATTAGGTATTGGTGGACTAGTGGAACGGGTTATAGAGGAAAGAGTGGCACAACGAGATTAGAGGAGAAAGGTAATTGTGTGAGGCTTCTCCCAGAGAAACACTCACAGTCAGTAACTGTTCGCAATAGAATCTCCAATCCTCTGCAGCAGAAGAGGGGGAGTCTGGTCTTGCCTTGACAGATTCTCCAGCAGCTGGGGTACGGTTGTCCCCTTCCCCTCACCCTTGTCAAACTTTGCATTCATTTTCTGAGTCGCTCTCTTCTTTTCCAAATCTACCTGGGTCAGGTATTCATGGAGAAAACAAAGGAGATCAAAAGAAAGAAGAAGAAAAAAGGCAGACTGATGTGACATAAATTTATTCCATGGCAGTAACTGTACTTGCACTTTGAAGAAAAAAAAAAAAAGTGAACTGAAAAAGTAAACTGAGCCGCCTCACACACTGAGCTGTAAATATGTGCTCAGGTGGCAATAAGTGTGTATTCTGTTTTCAAAGTAGGTATGTATTACAATTATAATGCTACACCACCTATTATAATAGCTGTCAAATGAAAATAGACTGAAAAACTCTGTAAATATGCCTCAAAGTGAAGGAAGGATTCATTTTGTAGACAGTACATTTTCAATGTTTTTATTTGAATTAATCATTTTCAAAAGTATTTAAGAAAAACAAACATATATAACTACATTGGTGGAAAAAAAAAAAAATTTTTGACAAACTTTAAGCTGTCATGAAAACTTTGCCATTAAATGGGCTACAGTCACTGAGGCAGCATCACTGACAACAAACAAGAGAGACTCTCTATAATTTAAATGGATTTGTGTGGCATATATGGCAGCAAAACTTAAAAAAGATCCCACCAATACCTGAAATACACCAAAACTAATAATATGGCACCAAAACTTAAAATGTGAATGTATATATATATATATATAGTCAAATCCTCACAAGGACTTAAATACAAATGTTTCACGACCTCACCCCTGAAAAAACTGTCTTTTTCCTTACCTTTTACCATCTTCTCCATTTCAGGTTCAATTTCCACTATCTTATCAAAGCAGTTTCTTGACTGAGAAAGAGAAAAAAAGTGGTTCATCATTGGCCTTGTGCTTCACTGGTCTCTCCTCAACCAATGAAAATCAATAGGATCCTTGCCGCTCCACAAGTCTGCAGTATCTCAGCACAACAATGTGGTGTATTGAAAACTATGACGCACATTGCAATAACTGAATATTATAGATTTTTACCAGAACAAATATTGCTTCCATGCAACATGCTTATACTTCCTTCAGAATTCAAATTACTTTTGTTCTCTATTCCAGCCATACAGCTTTCATGATGTAGTCATGATTGTGCTATAGTTAGATTAGTTGCCAAGTGTAGTTGTATACAAGAGCAATGTGTTCAGAAGTGATAATTACACTCACCTCATTATAATTCTGCAGTTCCAGATATGCTCTGCCCATGTGCACATAAGCCTTAATGCACCTCTCATTACACTGGTAGAGAGAAAATGATCATGGGGGTGTATTAGTTAAAGCACTTCATCAGCTGCACAACTGCATATGGTGTTTTAACATTTTTGCATTTATAACACTAGGATAGTGAGGAGGAAATATTCAGAATTTCACAGAGCTTGGCGATGGTGGAGTTATTATATATATTATGTATCTTTTTCTCATTGAGCTATTCGTCAGCCAAAACCATTTTTTTCAATGCAATCCTACAAGTCATGACTCATAACCACTTTTCATTTTCATGCACTTGAATGTTCATTTCACATCACAATGTTCCCAACAGAACAGTTTTGCACCACTGTTGACCCAAATCCTGCCCCTATTACTGTTTTTTTAAGTGCAGCACAGGACCAAGTATCACCCACCAACCCGTTTTCTTACCACACGTCCCCTGAGTTCCCAAGTCCACAAAGAATAAAGCCTCAGAAGCCACTATGACAAATGAGGCAGCAGCTGACTGACCCAAGTTCCTTGTCAGGCCTTACCTTCAGAGCCCATTCACTGTCACTGATGGCCTCCGTGTACTTTCCCAGCTTGATGTAGGCCCAGGTGGATTTAGACATAAGACCGTAATTGAGCATCAAATACAGACAAATAACTAGAGGGGCACTCTGTAGAGCCAGTGCCTCCACCAAGGCCCATTTCATAAAGATCCGTGAGTTATTCTTAGGGAAATTTCACCAGGTTTTGTAGTAATTCTGGCCTCATGGTATGAATAGTGTAGCATTATTAGCAGAATTTTAAGATGCTTGTAAGATGAAAAACACAGAAACATTGACGATACTTGTGCTCGGTTGGTGTACAGCTGCTACATGTCCTGTAGCTCAGTCAGACCATCAGTGTTATACTTCACAGCACTTTCAAAGGCTTTATTCCCCTTGTGTTTGAGTGCTGCAGGGATTCCAACAGTATAGCAATTAAAATGACGTGTTAGCCCAACAGAACACAGGTTACAACGCAGTATTCACATCAAACAGCATCTTTAAAGAACAGAGAGTTCCTCACCAGTTACCTTTTTCTCTGTAGCAATTTGCTTCACTCTCCTGTCTTCAGCATCTCTTTCCGTAATCCTCATGAAACTCTCTGGTCCAAAAAAAAAAGTCTTAAGCATAAGTGCTACAACAGAAAATGAGGGAATTTTATTTTATTTGCCATTAGGCAATATTTTTACATTGCAGTTGGATTTACAGTTTCCCCTTGACAGATTTGTGTCACACATTATACATAAGATATATGCAAAAATCTATTTACCAAAACGAGGCTACAAAAGCAGTTTTTAAATGATGTTTTGAAAGTCATCACTGATGAATGTAGAGATCCCCACAGGGAACCTTCAGTGTGTTAATGCTGGACTATTATCCCAAAAGACAGATAGATTTCAATTGGAGGCAATTTGAAGAAACAATTTTGCTGTCTCCTCAGTCTCAAGCATGTCATTACTTTTTCTCTCTCTGTCTCTTTGAGAATTAAATGTTTGATGTGTTGTTGTTGGTGTTTTCAACTGCATACTGTAGGTGTGAAAGGTTTAATGCATTTGCTGCTTTACTATTATTGATGAGTTTTACTTCAGGGAGAATTGAAAAGTGTTACTTTTGATGAGTTGATAAGTTCTTTTTATACGAAATACAATGTGTACAATAAGATTTTATGAAAAAGTTGAATTCTAAGATTATCCAGCTTCTGTATGTAGTACTTATTTTCCTGGCCTTTGCCACATGGTTCAGTGTTTGAGTGTTTCTACCTGCAGAGGATAAAAGCCAACAAAAACAAGCCATCATTACCCAAATTACCAGTTTCTGGAGGGAAGGTGACAAAGCTCTTACAGCAATAACAGCAGCCAAGGATTCATCCTCCATTTTGCATCGTGCTTCTGATTGGGAGATGCAAGTGGCCCTGAAGAGGATACTTGTCTCTCCAGAGTAGTAGTCAGTGACATTGCTCTACCAGACTTTGTAGTTTTATCCAGAAGCACAAAATCCATCATGGTAATCCAAAGAAGACATCAAAGTATCAGGATCTGGTGGATGAGGTGCATGCCACCTTACTCCCCATCACAGTCAGCTACACGGGATTCACATCAACACTATTTTCAGCTTAAAATTTGTTTGGAGCTCAAACACCTTGAGAAAGCTACAGGGAAGATAGCCACCAACTACCCCAAAATGGTTGTGGCTGAGGAGAACCTGCAGGTTATTTGGCCTAATGCAGCAAATCTCCATGAACCTGAGATACCTCCTGATGCAATGCTCTAACTATCAACAACTTGCAACATCACATCTTAAGCTTTTGCAGTTACTGCTAGCAAAGCAACATTGATGTTCATTTTACCTATGATATTGTGTTCTGAGCACCAAATACTACAAGTCTCCTGCAAGCATAGTTAAAAGGCCTCTGGACAAATAATCAACAAAAACAAATCAATCATGTCCCATCATACATATCCTCTAAATGAAGCAGGAAACTCCTCACCGTGGCATTTTGGTGGTTGCATAAGGGAGTGAGGAATTAACCTTAAACAACCCTCTGCCAAATAAATGGATAAAAATAGCACAAAATTAGGGGGCAGCTGAACTGGTCTGAGCAGGACAGTGGCTGAGGACATGGTCAGGCCACTTTAATGCCATGGACACACTTTACGCTGCATCTCTTTTCCTACAATAGCGCATGGTGAGTCACCAACCTGTCAAACAAGCACAGTTGATTAAAAAACCTCATTGTCACATCTGCAGTAAATGTCCGTGCGGCTACATGAAGAAAGGCTCAAGTGTTATGAGAGACTACATCCCTACAGCAAGCCTCTGTAGCAGAGGAATTGGAGGCTAAAAATAAATCTCTCTACCTTAAATAGAATCAGCTACAAGTCATACTGGTATTCAAAATCAAGGCTATTGATATCCCCACTTGCTGCTGGAACCAAAAGTGTAACGGACTGCATGTTTTACAGCTGCCTTGAGCAGTGTAGTAAAGCAAAAACAGCCTTTTTTTACACAGCCACATTTAAATATATATTTTGATGGTTAAGTTAAATTCATTGCTGTATTCTGTTAATCTAAGAAGCTTACCATGATCAATGAGAACACATTTGTCTGCTTACACCATGTTTCAATTTACTCAAGGGACAAAAATAGTAGACTTATTTCAATTTCATTTTCATTGGCTCATCTGGGCTTTTATTCTGCAGACCCTGTAAAACAGGAAAAAAACATTGAAAAATGTTAAGAAAAAAAGCCCTCCCTTGTAATCTTGTCATTTTTACAGGACAAAAGGGGGCAGAGTAAACAACACCATGAAAAGTTGTTGGTTGTTTCAATGTGCTTGAGGGACAGAGACAGAGAGAGAAAACAACAGACAGAAAGAGGTTGAGAAAGAGTGAGAAAGACAGAGAGCGAGAGCAGGTGTGTGGATGACTTTGTGTGTACGTCTTTACAAAGGAAGGCTGGAGTGGTGGGATTCTGTTGATTTTAGTCATGTTGACTTAGGTCCGCCAGGATTCATCCAAGGCAGCGATGTTGCAATCAGCTTCCTCCAGCGCCTTTTGCTGCACTTTAGCATCAGGAGACTTAAGATCCTTCCCCAGCTCGCCTGAGAAAAATAGATGCTTTATATCAGTTTACACCCTTCATTTCAACGTCTGTACATTTCATGGAGCCAACGTTGTGTATCAACCTTTCTATATCGACTTAAGAGTATAACTATTGTTTCATCTGTCCATTTCTCTCAATTATTCAGTTTTTCACATCGAAAAATGGCATAATTCCCCACATTTCAAAATAAAGTCTTTAAATGTTTGACAGCATAAATATATAAATCCAATAATAACCACTTCACCTTCATGTATGATCAAGAAAATAATGAAATCTTTACATTTTAGTAGCTGGAAACAACAAAAGTTTGGCATCTTGCTTTTGACAAATGCAATTGATCGACTATAAAAATAATTGCTGATGGATTATGTTTTGAACGACTAATGACCTATTCTATATATTTCATACTGATTAAATGCTACAGTATACAATCAACCACATACACATATTACATTTCCAACAATTTAATAAAAGAGGACATCATGTAAAAAGAAAATAGTACTTGTTCAACTTCATGGATGGATGGTATGTTTTAACAATGTACATTATGAAGCCTATTAGCAACTAACTCAGCTATAATAATAATAATAATAACTGATTCTTTATTCACTGTAGATTGAAATAACACCTGAAGTTTATAATATCTCTTATGTTAACTTTTTACCGTTAATTTATATGGTATATTAAACAGCCCATCTGCCTGTTTAACCAATGCTAACTAGCTGGAAAATGACTCACAACTATTTTACTCACTTATTTTGTCAACATTCTTCAAAAACCTCTCGACGTCCTCAACTTTCTCCCTCTTGGTTTTGTTCCTCTGAGACTATTATTAAATAAGCTAATTAGCTCTTTGTTGTGTTAACTAGCGACGAATTTAGCCTCACAAGTTTGCAGCGTGCAGTTACCACCGCTCGTAAGTCCCGTAAAGAGAGAGCGGGAAAACTGCGTACAGTTGTTTCTCTGCGACAGTTTTTCGTAGAAGATGATCACGAAATATTAATTGAAGAGATAATCAGAAGAAATATATTCAAAATCAATATTCTGTCGTTGTCATGTATTGTGTATTGTGAGTTTTGAGAGCAATTGAAGGCATTCCTGCTCAGACTGGATCTAGGTGGCCACATTTTTGCCTCATTTTAAAACACCACAAGTGTAAAATATATGTTTTTATGAATCAATATAAGTCATTTCAAGGCTGCTTTTTGTTTATTAGACTGCTAAGTGTTTTAGGGGCCTTATATTGATGAACATGCATTCTGTGTATCCTTACTGTGCTTTCACTTATGTGCAGAAAGGCTAAATCTCATGCACACTTTAGTGAGTCTGCTCTTTAGTGTTTCTCTTGTTATAAAAGACTCCAACAGTTTGAAATCCCGCCTCACTTTTTCTCAGTTATGGCTCAACACTGCCTCTCTGTGGTAAATGACACAAAAGACACACAGCCGAGCTCCCACAAATCACTGTTTGTCATTAAATAACACAGTGGATGAACATTCAGTGTTGCAATAACTTTAGGAAAGAGTAAGAGGTGACATATTTACATTAAAGAAATACATATCTATAGGGTAAGTGTAATGAAAACAGGAAAAATGTCCACATTGCATCATGGATTCTGCATTTGAATATTAAAAAACAGGTGTGAGAAGGTATTTGTTTATAATGCACCTTTAATTTATTAATTATTGAAATCAAAAATGCATAAGCATCAAAACAACAAAGAACAGGTCAGTTTGATACATTCAGAGTTTTTATTAATTCAAACTGTTTTGGAAAGTTTGTTAATTTGTCAAAAACAAATTGACACAAGTACAATAATTAATTAATAATTGCATATTTAGTAACTAGTGCCACTTTTCAAACACCATGACTTCAGGAGCTGTGATGACAATGTGATGACTGAAGGCGTTCTTAATGTGAAGTGGAATTCTCACACAAATTGCCAGCTGCCAACAAAAATCAACTAATGGCATTGTTGTGGAGGTACGAGCTGAGAGCCCACGTTGAGTTGCAGTGCAGCTACAGCAGGGTCAGGTCTTCTAATCAAATGTCAGCCGAATTTGAAAAGGTTTCCATGGTGTGACACGCAGGCATCCCAAATATGGCTGACAGCTGTTAGTGTTTATCTGGGGCTTTTGCTGCAAGGCCTTTGGGGACATGCTGGGCAAATTCTCTACATTTATGAAGATGTTGGCAAAACAGCGAGCTAAAAGTAAAAGGTTTGGATGTAATGCTATATCTTAGCAATATGTTGGAGAATTAACAGATCAGGTAAGAAATCTAGTAAATATATTGAACAGTAATTTGTCTGTATGTGAATATAACTGCATTCTGCATAATTTCAATTTGCCTTTTTAACAATTTTGTCTTTGAAATCGTAGACACATCTGTTGTGTATCCCACATCCTACAAAATTTAGAACAGTTGCTTACTTCTCGTAATCACTCACTTTGTTCGACTGGGCCCCATTAACTGTCCTAAAGAGGAATGGGGCCTCATTCCCGAGGGACAGCTGCATTCCAGTCAACAACAACCACAGACAATAAAGCCGTTTCTTCTCACATTTGCACAAAGCTTATAAAGATGAAAACCAATCCATGGAAACACTGGTTTCATCACTTGCTGTTCACTTTGATGTTATTGAAATATTAAGTTATTTTGATTCTTTATCAAGGGAAAGATTACTGTTCTTACATGTCATACATTCCACAGTGACAGGTTTTTGAAAAAGTCTTTAAATAGCGGGCAGGGAAGGTTTTCTGACATCAAGAACTCAATGGTAAAGAGGATCACAGCCAGAAACTTAAGCATCAGTCTTAACAATGATGAGGATTGTGATGAGCACTCAAACATTATAGCTCCAAAGAAAAGACCACTTCTAGATGTGAACAGAAATGCATAATTGCTTTAAAAGGAAAACTAACGTGTGTAGATGTATGTCTCCTGATGTTGTTAATGCATTGTGTCAGAATAATTACTAGACTTGACAACAGTTAACAAAGCCTACTACAGTGCAGAACGTGTTGATTGAAGGGAGGACTGGATGCTTCTAGCTATTTTGGTCCGATGGCTCAGAGACAGGATTTTCCGTGGCCAGACTCTGAGTGCTGTGGATGCCACAGTGTCATGCCTCAGAGGATGACATACACTTGCAGCACAATGCTGTCATTGATTAAATGCTCGCCTCTTTATCTGCCTTTGCACGATAAATCTGCCCATGGCTCCAGTCTTTCTTCTGAGGTTATCTCAGAAGTTCAACTTCGAACTTCAGAAGTGCACTGCGAGACACATAGTAGTTTGGAGTTAGGCTGTGTTGTTTTTAAAACTTCTAATGCCACTCTGGTAAACGTTACTGTTTAAAGGACATATACTGGACAGTACTTTATCATCCAAATATGGTTTCATCACAGGTGGAACGTTCTAATAAATATAAAGGAAACATACATATTGAAATTATAATCAGATGACAGAAAAAAAACTAATGATGCAGCTATCGATTTATTTCATTAAAAAAAAATTTGCCGTGTTGAAGTAAAAAGTAAGATACAAAAGAGGAAGAAAGGCATATTTTAAAATGTACTCTGAAAAAATGTTTTTAAATGTTTTCTGAAAGCTTGAAAATGATCATTATGAGATGCTTTATATTTTGAATGAATGGTGCCTACGAGTAGAGCCTAATACAAAAATGCAGTCGTCCCTAAATCACAAACAATGTCTTGGGAAAACAATTACAATACAGGTATTTGTATAGTTATGGTCTGGTACATTCCCATTAGAAATGTGTTGGTTTGTAATTCTCCATGGAATAAAGAGAATATTTTATTATGTAATGTAGTAGGTTCCGAAGAAGATTAAGCTGATATGAAGTTTGTGATTCTACTTTTTTCAGTCAAATGTCTGGTTCGCATGTAAGAAGGTCTGTTCTTGTGTTACAAGTGTTTCACCAGCTGCAGCAGTAAACTGAGTGTCATAAAAGTCCATATGGGCTGCACACTTGAACATGCATCATATAATGTAATTATCTAGCAAACTAACTAAAGTGAATCTAATGACTAAAAGCTGTTGCTAATATTTTTATCAAAATGATCCAATCAGAATTAGTTTTCATGTGTTCAAGAGAATGTAACACACAACCATTGAGTGAGGCTCCTCTGGCTCCTCGGAGCCGTTAATGCGTAATCTTAGAATTTGAAGTCCCTCCACGTGCACTAAATCTATTCTACTTGATAAAACTTCAGTATAAAGAGACATAACCCGAAAACATAAATATGCTTTCAGTGTGGGGAAGCCATTAGTCCTGCACAACACCCTTAAACCACACCCCTGAAGTATAAAGCAGCATGGGTTGCCATCCCCCTCCAACCATTCACTCCAGACACAGACTGATAAACTAGAAATTCTATATACTTCAAGAGATACACAGAGAAAGTATGGAAACAGGCCAGAGCCGTCCCGTGGCTCCATCCTACTTGGGATGGTCCATCTTCAACACTTTGTGCTGTTGTTTGCCATTAGGGATTGCTGCAATCGTCTGCTCTTGTAGGGTAGGTGACTTTTCCCAAATACCAAACTTTATTCTTTTCTGTTGCTGCTTTACATTTTTTTCTCCAATTCTAAAAGATGCCTTAAATCAATAATACAAACTGCTTTTTTAAAATGCTGTAAAAGTGAATATGAGTAGTCATTTTGATTATTGTTTTTAAAGGCACAAAATGCAAATTCTGCTGGGGAATCAGCCATTGCTCAGGATGCATCGAGGACAGCCAAGATCCTCAATGTCATCGGGCTTGTGTGCGGAATAATTTTGCTCATCATTTTCATCGCTCTCAAAACCACTCAGATGTAGCGCCATTGAAAGTGTCAATTCTTGCCATTGGCAGCGTCGGCACTTCAGCAAGCTTTTGTCATCTAACCCACATGGACTTCCCTTCCCCCTACATACAAAATTAAGAGGAAACAGATGTCTACAGTGTTTTTAATGTAGAAACATGCATGCTTTTTGTAAGGAAAAAACGGTTTCCTGTTTTTATGTAATGGAATGATTATCTTTTGTTGTTATAAAAAAAAGTGCAACCTGATTTTTTTTGTGATCAGTGATTATGAGATCTAAACAAATCAGAAATGTCAAAAAGTTCACTATTTTTGTAGTTACTGGCCAAAAATACTATTAAGTATTTCTTTTTGTCTCACATGTCCATTTACTTGGAATCATAGGAAATGACCTGATATAAAATGTAAAGATACATGTGTGAAAAATTATTAAAATCCTGGGCTGAGAAACAAGAGTCCATCTATTATTCATTCCAAGGTGAAATCCAAAATAATTAATTAAGTATAACAGTGAGGAAGGATAGAATTCCTCATAGTCATGTTATTATTAACCTGGAGCATCTACAATTGTATGTATTTAGCAACAGTTACAATACGATCTAATAGGGATTTGTGCTTACAGTAACATCTGCTTGACATCTGTTACCCACTTCTAGAAAAACACCAGGTTTTGATTGTGGGGTTGTGTTTTTATTCAGTCTGGTCTTTCTCTTCTTTGTCTTGGGCCTCCAAGCTCTTCTCTCGCAAAATTCCCTCAAGATGCAAGAGTAGAGATTTCTCTCCGTGCTTCCTGTGAAGTTCTTCAACTTTCTCCCTGCAAAAGCACTGCCCACAAAAACACTAGATGCAAACAGGACAATGATATAATGAACAAACGGAACAGTAAGAACAGAGTATTATTTTATAGTTAGTGGAAATATTCTGATCTTACATCTTCAGACAGCAGTCCTGGGCTTGGTTTGTGCAGCCTGTGTAAGAGGGAGGCAGCATGAAAGTTGGACAGAGTAGCATGTGAGTCCCTTACAGGGGCCTCTTGGTCTCGAAACCGTGCATACAAATTGGCCCCCTGTCCTGAGGGGCACACTCCCCACAGTCTGGCATTAAACAGCTCCCCCAGGCATGCCTGCAGAACCTTGGATGTAAAGTCAAACAGACCAACAATATTTGAATTAACATCAAGCCAAAGTAAATCCAATTAATAGTTCAAACTTCAGCTTTATTTTTAGTGAAAATAAAAAATGAGTACTTGTTTGTACCTTGAAGAAAAGCCTCTGGAAGGCAGGACTGGAGTCAGAGCTCATGTCTTTAACACTGACATGGGCCAGACAGTGGAGCAGCAGCAGAGAGAAGCCTCCAACTGACTGGAGCCTCTGGCGACGGACAAAGAGCAGCTCCTCTGCTTCCTGTCAACAGAGCAGTCATTCACCTCATACTCTGAGCAAGACATGCAAAAACATATACACATGATCTGTGTCACACTCCATCATAGTAAGTGGATATAAAATATGGATAAACTCCCAGTATTGCAACCTTTTGATTTAAAGCCATGGAGATGGTGGGCCACAGTTTGAAGTTGCTCCTTTGCTTAGGTTGTGGATCCTTCTGAAATCTGAAGGAATGTGAAACAGCAAAGGGGACCCCAGAAACAGGCTTTACAACCCTGAGCTCATGCTGAAAAATATGAAGGTTAGATTTGAGGGGTCTTTTAAGTCTTACAGTCTGACCCTGTTCCGGTGTGAAATGTTTGGGAGGGGGGGAGGGCAGAGAAAGAATCTTTTGTGTCCAGAAAGCAGCAAGGCTGGAGAAGATGTTCAATAAAAGCTTTCACTGGTTAGATCTGTTCACTGAATAGCCTCTTGTCTGTCCCCTTAGGCCCCCTCAGCATTGGTGAGGGCTCCAGGATGTAAACAGCATAATGACGTAGAAAGTTGAGTCATTGCTGGAGCTGTTTCTTATGTACTGATTCATTTTGTTCAGTGGTAAAATGGTCATGGTGATTTGTTTTAAGACTTGTTACTCTCAGCTGCATTTAATACAATTCGCTCATTTCACTATTTTTTTGCATTTTCAGGGATCATATGGTTCATTTCATTGGTTGACCAGTGGTCAACACGACACCTGGCATTCTATTGGTTGAGTTTGACAGGGTTGTAATACAAAACATTCCAAGCACACAGGAGAAATCCAAGAGGAGGCAATTCACGGGCAGCTAAAAGTCCTGCTCTCAAAATGTTAATAAAGTAAAACTAACAGCCAAATATAGTATTAAATGCAAAGGGACTCATTAATGTTGGCACAACCAGGCTATGTGGGGTTCAGCTTCCTGCCCAAGGACACTTCAGCATGCTGACTGAAGGAGCCAGGGATTAATCTTCTGGTTGGTGGATGCCCCGCTTTACCCCCTGAGCCACAGCCGCTCTTATAAACACACACTGGATCAGTTGGAACAACATGAAGATTTTACCTGATAAAAGAAGGAATTTCTGAAGGCGTTGTTAAAGTAGTTGTTGTTTGGCAGACTGGCAGTTATCTGAAGTGAAATAGCTGGAGTCTGTTGGAAAGAAGAACAACAACCTAAGTAATTCTTGTTTAAGTATGCCAATGTTACCTCAACTCTGAAAAAATAAAGAAATGCAACCTTGTTTATTCACTAAAATAACAAAGTAGAATTAATAAAGAAATGTGTTTTTGGTTGAGCTTGAATAGATTATACGAGCCTGAGGGATACAGTGTTTATTAAAAGTTTTCCTGCCTAAATGAATTCGGCCTCCACAGAGGCTCACAAGAAATTAAGATTAAAAAGATAGCTGGGGGCCAGGCCACTCAAATATTCAAAATTAAACAGTAAAAACATTTTAGAAAAATATAGAGGAAAAACAAGTTTATAAATCAGAGTGAAACTTCGTCACCAACCAGTTGTAGACTGTGTAATGTTTGCATCAGGAAGAGTCCGTGTTGGTAGACCAGGAACTCTCGGGGGTTGAGGACAGACGGGTCCACTGGGATCAGCTCTCCCTCACATTCCCACTGAGCGTCAAGGATATCGACAAAACTGTTGCCTCTGTCTGCACAAAACACAAAGCCCAACAATTTCCAATAATCTTTTAATACTGCAGTCTACTGTTATTGCTGCAAAAACTGTAGCAAAAGTCCCCGTCCTGTTTAACTGAGCTGCAGAAGGTCAGGTTGTCCACATCAAGCTAACTTTAACTTGAGAATCAGTTGAAAATCCATCCAAAACGTTTTCAAGACAAGTCACAATGTGACACCTGATGAATATGCCATCTACATGGGTTGTACGCCATGTGTGTACATGTTCAAATGTGTATAAAGGCTGTGAGAGTGTATGTGTATGGTTGATGCGCGCAAGATTTTTTTAAATAGTCCACCTACTCCACCTGACCTACCACTGAGCTCCCCTCTCAGAAGCCCTCTCCCGCAGGCCCAGCCCCTCAGCTGCAGCTCCACCACCTTCAGCAGCTGGAACAGAGGAGAGAGCTCCAGCAGCCTGGTCCACTCCTCCTCTGAGGCATAAAATGAACATGAGTGGATAAAGTTTACATGACTCACTGCATGCAACACTCTGATTGAGCATGTATTTTACATCACGGTGTTACCTGGGACTGTGGGGACAGTGATGTGTGTGGGCTGAGCAGACTCTTTCACAGGCTGGTTGTCTGTCAGGAAATATGTTGAAATGACTCATTAAAACCACAGCCAGCAGACAGTCAGTTTGTATTTTCCACAATAACTGTCGGTACAAACAGCTTTGTTCTTAAGAGGTATCTACAAGGGATTTTTCAAGAACTTGACACATTCATCAATTTTCTCGTAGTTTGAGTTTTTCTCATGCGTACAAACAGAATTTAACAATGGACCAGATCTGTCATAAGAGTCAGATAAAATTTGTCTTATTCAAATCAAGTTTTTCACACATGGATTGTAAATTTTATTATTTTAAAGCACTTATATATTAATTGCAAAAAGTTATGTTCATATTTGCCATCCTTGCATGTTTGCTCAAAGAAGATGACATTATTTGCCTTTTTTATGCAGGTAACTTATACATTTTTCTGACGTTAGAAGTGTTTGCAGAATTGAAGAGTCAGGCTCGTACAAACTCACTTTACAGAGTACAAAGTAAGAATTTTCATGCATGAGGTCCAATGACTGTAAAACTCAGTTTATGTGGATGTGTAAATATCTGTGTCCCTCCCCAGATATCTTTTGCCAGACTTAAGCAGGGAACATGTATTATTCTCACTCATGTTTCGTCCTGTAGCCGAGCACAGCACAGTTCAACAGTCTGAAAGCTTTAATTTCTGCTCACCCTGGGACTGGATGCCAGAACAGGCAGTGTGTGTTTGTGAGTTGTGTGTTGGTGTCGAACCGGCCTGCAGACCATTGTCCTGGGACTGAGCTCCATTCACAGGCTCCCTCAGAGACTGAGTGGAGATTCCTTTAGAAACACAGATTGTAAAGAACCCTGTAAACTTTGTGATCCAGACATCAAGTAACCCTAACCCGTGAGAATTTGTCTTAAATCAAAGCCAAGACACATTATGTTGAGGTACTGGACTCTAGAGACAGGTAAAGATTTGACACGGACATGAATGATTTACATTTTCTTATTTTTAAACTTATCCCAGTTGTGATTTAACATCTGTACATTTACATATACAATCTGAGTTTTGGCACATGCAACATTATTGTCAAAATGATTATAGTCATGTTCTCCTTCTACTCCATCTCTAATCTCCAGAGGCGTTAAAGAAGCAGAACGTAGAGAAACAACAACATCCTGGATCTCAGAAGCTTCAGATTTTTTTTTAACACAAGCACACACAAACAGTTGAATTTGTACAAACACTGTGTCCGTTTTTCTCCTCTCTGCTCTAATCTGGTGCATTTTAACAACCAGCTGACTTCACAGTACTTCTAAGCATAGAAGGCTCTCTCCACACAAGGGTTGAGAGGCTTGAGAATTACATACCTTTCACCACAGGCACAGAGGCAGTCCAGACTCTGGAGGCTATTTCCAGCCCATATGCTGGTTTTACTGATAAACCTGCAAACATGTCAGAAAGCAAACTTAAAGAGGGAGCCTGGTGATATTTTATATTTTAGACCAAAACCAACAAGGTATTAATCCTACAAACAATGTAGTTTCTCTCCTCAAATATACTGTTGATAATATTGCTGTGACAAAGACCCAGTGTCTTGCAAAATCTATATTATAAAACTATAAAAACACATAAATAAGCCTCACTGACATGAGCCCCCTAACTACTATGGAAATGGGCTTCTATAGTTTATTTTGAGTCAATTCCATTTACATTATCCTGCTGCCATATATACTCACAAAGAATATTTTGAAAAGACATAAATGATTCAGGTTCAGAGGAAGGAAGTGTGGGTGGCAGAACTAGTTCACAGACTATACATCAAAACTCAGAAACAACCACAAAGACACTGACTCTGTACCTGAGACATGTCGATTGCAAGTGTTGGGGGAAAGGCTGGCCGACTGTTTTCCTTCCAGCAGCTGGTTCAGTCTCTCCAGCAGAGGCAGAGCCTTCTGCTGAAGCAAACCCATGACCTTAGTCTGTCTCCTCCTGCTGCACTGGACCAGGCCATAGTCCTTGTACCAGAAGTTACCACACAGCACCGCCTAGACAACCACCAAAGAGAAGGAGCTCAAAATAACACAGAGATAATCAAAACTAATATTTTTACAGCCCTCTTAAATTTTGCTTTGACTGTTGAGCTTAGGTCTAAACAAACTCTAGGGGATGACAAAAAAATCCCAGACAAACCCCACTGTGTCATGTATTTATAATTCAGTGTCATTTATTGAGCGGGTCTGCCCGTGCCGTGACCTGAGCAGTGTCGGCACGCAGCTGACTGCGTTGTCTGGTGAAGTGCAGAGCGACAAGAACGGCCTCCAACTCCGTCTGTCTGGAGCAGCACTGCTCCCACAGCTCGCTCTGTCTCAGCTCTCTGTCCTGCGGGACACATAAACACAGAGGATTCAGACAACAACGTCCCACTGTGCATCTCAGAGCTCTAAACTTGTGTCAAAGGTCAAGACTCTCCAAAAACATCAGGACACATAAACAGTTGGTATTGCATATTGTATATAGGGCTGTTTATAGGGAAGACATGCAAACTCCACGCAGGAAGACCTTAGCCGAACCTCATATTCGAACCTGGTACCTTGCTTTGATGTAACAGTACTAACCACTGTTCCACCATGCCATCCTGATATCAGTCCATATTGATTATCATCACAATAGATATCAAATTATTGTGTTTTTCAAGTTTAAAGACTGATTTTTGTTCCTGAGTGAATTTGTGGTTTTAAACTGGTCTTTGTGGACAGAGAATGAAACAAATTTGTCTCGTCTAAGGTAGATCATTAATTAATTAATTAATTAATTATTAAATTAATTATGTGTTCTACCGCCTCACTGTGCTTGCACCATGCATACACCATTAATACATATAGATTTTTTGTTGTACTGCCGCTGACAATTACACTGCAATAATTGTTATATTGCCCAGCCCTATATAGCATCTAACACCTGATGTACATGTAACTGTGTGAAACAAAAAATAAGCTACAGTCTCACTCATAAATCACAATGCCAATATTCTGACCACAGCATGCAGAGTTGTAGCCCAGTTTCCTCCCTGTGTCCACTTTTCCTGTTCTTGCTGCAACTGCTCCACACAGACATCCACCTTTTCGAGCCCCGACATGAGCTGCGACTGCCAGGCGCTCTGCTGATCCCACTCCTCCTCATCACCTATACACAGAGAGGGAGAGACACACAACGACATGCTGCCAACCCAAATTAAATACCCAACACTGACATTATGTTAATAACTATGGAACTGAAGGATCTGACAGGAGATTCTGGTACAAGAGTGCCTCTCTTTAGGAGAGCAATGAATGTAACCACAATGCAGGTCATGACTGCAATTTCCCTTCATGCTCTTCATCCTGCCAGTTTGGCAGCCGCAGTTTATACCCTGCGTAAGGATGTGTAGAACATGTGGAGGCAGCATGAGAGCCAAGTGAGAGTGCTGAGCGGCTCTCCTCTGGGCCTCGGCCTGCGATGAATCCTGCAGCTCCGCAGCTGCTTCCCTCAGTTGCCTCCCTGACCACTGGAGCTGCTGTGGAGTACACATTTACACGTGGAACATGAAAAATGGAGGTACAACTTTGCATTGGAATGAATAAAGACATTGGAAACAATCGTGCACACACTCATAAACAGAGATATAGTAAATTATCACTTTGCAAACACCTAAAGAACCATGTCATCATCCGGCTTTCTTGTTGTGCGCCACAGGAAATGAAAAGCTTCCCTCCAATTACTCTCCATTGCCACTTGCCTCCAGCATTCACATATCCCCTCCATCATCTCCTCATGCTCAAAAGGTTCTGCCTCCTGGCTATGACTATCCTCTGAGTAGAGACTATGTAAGACATTTCCAACCAAAACAGCAAACTCCCCCTGCTGACCTGAGAAGACTTAACTTCTGTGACTCTGGTGAGATACTGGAGAAGAGCTGAGTCCAGATCAGAGAGAATATCTTCCTCACGCTGCCTCTGATGCTGCCAGTATGTGTTTCGCACACACACCTCTCTCTGCAGAGCCTCCACCTGGAAGCAACGATAGGAAGATGCATTAACACCCAGCAAAGAGCTTCGATCTCTTATCAAGTCCACAAAACTCCCTCCAGCAGAAATGACTGTAGAGAGTTGAATCACTTTTATTCTCACTGGTCACATTAAAGATGACTTGCACCAGAGCATTAATGGAAGCATTTCTCTAAAGTACTGCCCCACCTGCACACCATCAGTTTGATCTGCCACTGTTAGCCAGAAGGAAGCTGTAACAGGCAGAATGTGCTTTCTGGATACATCCAGTCTGGCTCCAACCACTGGTGCCAACGTCCCTGTCACTGGGTCAACAGTCTGAGATCCATAACGAATCGCCACCAGACCTATAAAGACCAAGATGAACTTATTTTATTCTGTATTGTTTCAAAGACCTTTAAAGAGGGTTTAAGTGCGTCAGTTGTACACTGACCTCTGCAATAGCCTGTTTTTGACAGTACCTTTTCCATCTGGGTCCTCCATGGTTCCTGCCAAGGGTAGAGTAAACCCAGAGACCAAGTCAGTGTGACATCCCAGCACCGGCACACTGAGACCAGATCCCATGGGGTCAGGATACTCCATCCCCAGCAGAGCTGTCACACCCACATCAGAGCCTGACAGAGGCATCTCCCCTGGGTTCAACAGCACAGAAGAGGAAAAAAAGAAATAGAAGAAAATAAATATTTATATAAAAAGGTGCTCAAATATCTTTTCTCACTTTAAGTATTCCTGAACTTTTTTTCTAGGAAGTTTGATAGGAGCTCAACCTATTTACATGAAATTGTGTGGAAGGGTGGGACATGAACCAAAGGAGAACCAATACAATTTTTGTGCAGATCCGGAACAGGGCACATATCCAGGAACCTGTTTTTCTCATTGTTTAAAATTGTGAGATTGGATGTTTTTGGCATTTTCACTGATTTCCCAGAGATTGTTTTCATCATTGATCTTGATGAAAACAATCAGGCAAGTTTTGACAACTTTCCATGAGTGTTTGCTATTTGTTGCACCTTGACTGAATTTAATGGGACTTTAAGTGTAGCCAAGAAGGGTGATGTTTTCATTTGCATTTGTTTTGGTTTGTGAGCAGGATTACACAAAAGCTACTGAGCCGATTACAGTTATAAAACTTGTTGGAGGCCTGTGGTACTGGTCAGGGAAGAATTATACTGTGGATCCAGATCAGTGGGCCAATCCAGGAATTTATTTTTTAACTTTAATATTACGAGATGGGGCCTTTTTGTTTATTTGCATTAATTTCTCACTTAATAATTCATGGATCTTGAAAATCAGACATGTTTAGGGGACTAATATGTAGGAGTGCATGCAATTTGGTGCAGATCCAAATAAAATCTGGATCTAGTGAATTTAAATAATGTTTCTTAAGGGGACCTTGAGCCTTGTTGGAGGTATGTGCTCTACTGAGTGACAGTCTAGTTGTTGTTTCATTTGACTGAGCTCAAACCAAATTAAATGCAGAAATAAGTGCAGACAGAGACAGGATGTGACTGCATGTCACATCTATTATAAGACATTGTAAAACTACAACAAGCAAAAGTACTGATTCTCTAGCACAGCACACATGACATACAACCACCACTGAAATTTAGACACAGTGGTGCTTCAAAGCGAACACAAACAATGATAAAAAGGAATGCAAGCACAAGCTCTCTGATGTCAAGGATGTAAACATTCACACTGACATAATTTATTTGTAACCAGGCTCATATTAAACAGGTAATTTGACACAGCGTGTTTGGGCAGTAGGTTTTTAATGTCTGGATAGTTTCGGACTCCTGGCATGCTGGAAATATTGAGGCTACAGGAGGTCTGTTTTATCCCTTCTAATGTGGATATGGTCTACATATTAATTGATGCATGTCCTAAGATAATTGGTTTGTGTGGGACAAACAGGTCACATGCTAGGTTTCTGTGGAGGGTGGTTGCTTGTGACAAATAAAGGTCATCCTTTCCACATTCTTTGCAAACTCCCTTTCTAACTCGATAAAAGAGTCACTTTGTGCCTGAAACTTTTGTTTTTATAAGAGGTGGTCACTTAAGGACAACGCTGTGTGATTCAGGAGGAGATAAAAAGGTAGTGAAAGGTTGTGCATTTTCTTTTGTGCAGTATTAAAAAACATCAAGTTATCTTACTTCCAAAAGTAGCAAAGGCGTTAGTTTTATGAATTTGTCTTCACGTGTCACAACAACAAAAGCTGTAAAGAAGAAACCGATAAGGAAATATAAAGTAATAGGCCTCTGCTGCATATTTCTGCTCAGCAACAAGCAGATTTATGGCAAAGTGAGGCTGACATTCTCCATTTGGGATTATATATTCTCAGATACTAAGTTTGAGTAAGATAGAAAACTTCAGAGGGCAAGAGAGCAGCAGTGGGGGGGAGAGGACAGACACAGAGAGAGTTTGTGATGTACAACCCACAAGATCCATTCATTCTCTAACTGGTGTTTCCTCACCCAGACTCCCTCCATCCCTCTGGAGACCCTCGGCCCAGTCCAGCAGCATCTCCAGCCTGGTTTGTAACTGGAGTTGGCTGTGCAGGCTCCGTCCCCAGGCCTGCTGGAGCTCCTTGGCCGCAGCCAGGACATGATCTTGTCGACCGCTCCCTCTCTCACTGCCTGGATGAGGCTGCAGATCCTGCAAATTTCCTTCTGAACCCCACTCCTCAGAAAGTGGCTTCAGGAGATCCAACACTTTGAACATTGCTGTGAGAACCTGATGGAGACATTTTGGCAACTCATGTTGCAATATCACTTTTTTTTTTTAGAGAATATTTTTTATTCATATTATTGTATATTTAACCAGGCAGTTACTTGGATAGTTACCTATTTTGCAATGCTGAGACTTAAAAGGCAGCATACAAAATGTATACATTTGAATATCAACAACATAAATTCACATTTTAGGTCCCATGCTGGAGAATAAACTATATCCAGTTAAACTGTATAAACATTATAATTTTCCAAAACCAAAATAACAGATAATTTAAAACTAACTTGAAAACAATTTTCACAATTTCAAGTCCCTCTGTGCATTGTTTCAGGAGAAATGGTATTTAAAGACATTTTTGATCTCGGGGAACTAAACTATACATTCACAGATTAGGTGTGTAACCAAGCACCTTGCAGTCTAGTAGACTTTGGTATCCTCCTGCATTAGGGACCCGTTGTCCCGCCATCATGTTGGCCCCTCTTACTCTCACCATTCGCCCACTCAGAGGTTCTATGAAGGACTCTGCCAGCAGGACTCCCCCTACTGGCAGCACAGCTCCTACACCGTCACACAGAACAAGGTTAACTCATAATAAGTCATACAGGATGTACTGGGGTCTCCTCAGCTGTACTGACCTGTCATTGGATCCAAGCTGACCCCGACTGTGAGCACAATGTTCCCCGTCCTGCGTTCTAGCATGGGATAACCGATCTGTATGGGCTGAGGCAGGCGGGTGATGGGGCAGACATGCACACCTCCCAGTGGGTAGACCAGTCCAGTCTCAGGGTGGATTGTCACAGCCAGTATGGGCACTGGGACTCCTGTGTCTGGGACTGCCATGGGAGCTCCGAGCTGCAGTCTCTGGCCCGGTCTGAGGCCCCTGAGGTGGGTGCTGGGTAGAGGCTGGTCTGAGTGGCCAGAGGTTGGGAAAGGAATGAAAGGAAGGAGGGGACTGTCCCACTTCCTGTTGTCACCTAGGATAAAGAATGGCAAGCGACAGTTTTATTAAAAAAAGAGCCCCGCCAATGTCCTCCTATGTCATCAATCTGAATGATGTATTGTAATTCATGAGCTATATTACTTTCACGCTATCATGTGTCAACAATCTGAGTGATCTTTAAATGCATGCTTTTAGTTATGCTGTGAAACAAACTGTTGACATTGTACTGCAGCCCAGTTTGTGTCCATCCACTTTCATATCGCAGACTTTTACTACCATGATTTTCAGTGACCCACAGAAAATAAGAATGAAACTAAAATATTCTTAGCACATGATTACTTGGATGTAATGTTGAATGATTAATTGTAGAAACTCTAAAATAAATTGCCAGATTATGGTTTATGAAGGCCATGATGCAGAAGAAATTGCTTAGGACATTAAGTTTGAAAACTTCTGTGAAAACTATTGAAGGTTTTTAAAACTTAAAGTTATGTAATATAAAGGCTGGAAAATAAATCTTATGTATCAATTTACCAAAATCTCTTTTTAATTCCTTTCAGCTCACATCACAACTAAATTACCCATAAGCGACATCTA